AAAGAAATTGTTCCCATTCTTTTAATCGTGGCGCAAACTGCAATTATGATTAGTAACCTGGATCAATGTAAATCAAATTATTTGGTAGCATTAATATGGATAAGTAAAAAAAAAATCAAATTATGTTTAAGGTGAATTTTGAAATGCCATATTGATTTATCAATTTTGATTTATAGTCCAAAGGACACAATGAGATAAAAAATAATGATGGCAATACATAATAAATGATCAAAAAAATCAATGCTAACAAGTAATTTTCCCAACAATCTTTATTCTCCTCACAAAAATGATTATTTTTAATGAAATATTTATTCTCATTTTTGTTCTAAGTATTGTATTCTTATATTTAACTATACTTGAAGTGTACTTGGCTATACATGGCCTGGCTGGTCCACGTTTCTCATTGCCACAAATTACTTTTTCTACTTTCTTTTCTCTTTACTAATTTTACTGTGCGTATATAATTAATGATTTTCAATAAAAGATTAAAATAATTGAATATTCGTTATCACTGGATTAAGCTAAACACTATAATACTTCGTATTCGTATCGTATCGTAATATACTGACCTGTGATATTTTCAGTTAATTAAAAACAATCAGGTAAGGAAACAAAAGAAGTTAAATATTTACCAATGTTTTGTAAGCACTGATATCGCCTTGTAAGCGAAGTAAGACTAATGGCTGTATATGAGATCGAAATTTTAATGTTAGATAACCTGAAATAAATTCTAAATAATTCATCATCGAAGTGGATTTATTTGGTCTAAGTTTTAGAAATTTAAATCGATCATCTAAGCATAAAAAGAAGGGTTAAGATTCTTCAAAATAAGTTTAAATTATATTTTATAAAAATTAAAAATTAACCAGCAAAAAAGTGGTCAAGAAATAACCTCGTGGTTTACCGCTGGTAGCATCAATACTAAGCATAGCATCTCTCAAAATGGTTAATGGTACCCAATGGGGTGGATATTTGAATCGAGCAACATCCATGATAAGAATCTGATCACTTTCTTCATGATAAGCACCTAGCGGTGAAAAATGACCTCAAATAAAAAAAAATAGTAACTGAAAATATTATCCAGCAAATTGATCGTATAAAAACGATAAATAAATGTTTATTCAGTAAAGATTATGCAAGTACCTGTACCAGTTTGACCTAATACTTGACGATTATAGCTAACCACAAGAATCGTATCGTCAACTGCCATACATCGTTTCACATTTTCACGAAAAGTGTTCAGGAATTCTGGATACAACTATTTAAACGTACTTTTTCTTAAATTTAATGCAAATCTATATAAAATAATGGTTAAGAGTAAATATTTTTTTCCTGAAACATCGATATCAAAAATAAGTTTTAACATTTCACTTTTATTTAATAGTTACGGTGTTAACATTGAAATAGTATGCAATTTATTCCTATTTCTAAAATGAAAAAAAAAACAGAAAATTAAAAGATACCTGATTTAGACTCAGCGTACTTTAATTCGGTGCAAAGTCTGTTGCATTCCGCTAAGCAAGCAAACTGAGATAGTGTTATTCCGGTTTTCTTGATATCATCAAGTGGTACACAACAGTCAAGCATACTTTCATGGTAGAAACGCCATGGTGATTTCCACACTCGGCCTGGATCCACTTCTAGCGCATTTAATACCATAACTAAACAGTATATAAGTAATATTTTAATTTTTCTAGCATAGAATAAGTCATAAAACATTTCTATATTTAAAATATAGCTAACTACAAAGAAAAATAAATATTTCTGAAAAAATTTTAGTTCATTTTTCTTTTCACACAAACATTATTTGTTAATTTACTGAAATTTCTTTTACTTGGCAAGGAACTCAATTCTTTATAAATATTCGCTTAAATTAAAGTGATATTAAGATATTTTGCAATTTTTTCTTTAATTATAGGAAAAATATTTACCCAAAGTAGAGAGGCCACAATAAGATGGTTCATTTTGGGTTAAAAAATGTGATGCTAATCGAAAATAAATATTTGCATGCCCTAAAATACAACAAAATTTTTCATAATAGTTAAAAGAAATAATGGTGGAATTGTGAAATTAAAGCAAAAAAAGAAACGATTTGATTAGAACAAATACACAAATAAGAGCATAATTCATTTTAAATAAAATTCATTAATTGAGTTGGTATATGTTCAATTAATTAATAAGCCATTCAAATTACAAATATAACTCAAATTAGCAATCAAAGTGAATCAAATAATGATTAATCATAATACTGTGCAATAAAAATAAAATATAAAATTAAGTAAAAATCATTGAAAATACGTTTAACAGAAAACAATTTCATCAAAAACTTTGCTAAATAAAAAGATGAAGAAAAAAAGAAATTCATGTAATCAATTAGATGATATATTTCAATCAAAACTGTGAATAATATTGTATAGAACAATGCTATTTAAATTTAAATCAACGAAGGAAAAAAATTTTTTTTTTCCTTTCCAATTTATTTTTTTTTAGTGATGAAATTTTCATTTAACTTTTAAATAATTTAATTTTTGCAATTTTAAATAAATTATTGCTTAGTTCTCTAAAACTTCGAAAAATAAATTCGAATTTATTTATAACTAGACAAATGACAGACCTTTAACAAGACTCTCGATGAAAAGTTTCTTTCCTTCAGGTGATGCAAAATTGATGCAGGATGGTGGTAATTTTCGACGATAGAAATTTTGAGTTTGTATTGCATGATGCTGCATGTGTTCCATGCTGCAGTTGATAATAATGTTGTTATCAATAGTTAGCGTAGTAAATTGGTAGAGACTGATGTTAGAATCATTATGATAAGAAGAAAAATTGCGTTATCAAATAGGTGTGTATATGTCACCATTATCGTTTAAATAGTTTGTGAATTAAAATAAACTGTTAAATAATTAGTATTAAGAAGAGATAATTTATCATCGAATAACTATTCATTAACTCCAAATTCGGAATAGATCTATTTCATTGTTAATTGTTAAACTACTGAGCTTGAAATTACAGTTAATATTTCACTGTTAAATAATGAGCTTGAAATTATGGTTAATCATTGATATTAACTTTTAAAATAGAAAAAAATGAAGATTGTTTATTGTAGTGCATTTTGCTAATTACTTTTTTAATAAAAGTATTAAAAGAAGAAACCCTTTTTTAACAATGAAAGTGTTATTCTTTCAAAGTCTAAAATTATATTATGAAAGCCAAACTGAATTATTGCTACTAAATTGTGAAGGTAATTAATAAACCGATTTTTGCTTTCTAAGGCACTTTTAGTCCGGTTAAAGGTTATCTGATAATCAACAGTTACCTTAAAGAATTAATCTCATCATAACTTTAATTTTGTTAAATAATTATCATTTGCTTCATTAATCAATATATGGGCTGAATAAGTTGAAAATAATGAAGCATATTTGTTTCTATTTGTTAGAAGAAGCGTGTCCAAAAAATGAAAATATTGTTGCTATCAAAAATGATTACGACAGCAATGATAATAATGACTACTTTTAACAATAATGATGAGGAATCGGAAGATAACTTATGATTCATATAATACTGATATAGATTACTGTGGATAGATGATTGTAATCAAAATAATGAAAAAAAATAATAGTTTAGAAGAAAATCATCAATAGAAAATGATAATTTTTTCTAACTATTAACAACTTAAATAGCAACAGAAATGTTAATGACTAGTACCTTAATAACGGTAGTTATTATTATATGCCATAATTTATGATCGAGATAAAAAATCAGGCTTATAATGACCATAATTCGAACGATTTAATAATGATTATAATTTGTAAATGGTAATTATGGCAATGGCAACAATCACAACCGTAGTCACAATTATAGCAATTTATTTGGATAACTGTGACCATTATGATGCTGTCGCGATAACAATCATTCATTCATTCATATAGCAGAAACTATTTGAAACTGATTCAAATGATTTCAATGTAAAATTTTTGAAATAAAATGTCAATGAACATGAGGTATATATGTATAATGTGTTGATATAGAAATATGAAATAGGAAATTTAAAGCAAATTTATTAAAAATATTCATTTATCTGTATACAATTTCAAACTTAAAAGGCACAAAAATAATACTTTGGAATTATTTTAGCTCATTAAATATCCTGTAGCCTGCCTGATGTTCCTTATAATTGGATTAATAGAAATAAAAAAGTAGAAAATAATAATATTTAAAATCAAAAACAAGTATATGCTCAAAAACAAGTACCGCACTTTTTAGCGGCTAAAAAACCGGATTAGAAAGAACACGATAATCTTACAAATGAAGATCAACATATTACCCAGTTCGTTAACCTTCCAAAATGAAGATATAAAAAAACGAAAAATGAAAATTACAAAGATACATCACTAACAGTTAATTCCTAATTCTATTTAGTAGACTTTAAAAAAGAATACAGACAATAGATTGAAAACCTCAACAATATATAAATTATTACAATTTAGTTATAAATAATCCAATTATTTTTTGTTGAGGTATCATACCAAAAACTGCTGAAGTCAAACCATTAAACATATTAAATTTATTTCTTTGGAGGCAAAAAAAGAAACAAATTTTTCTTCTCAAATCGAAATTCATGGAAAATATATCTTTTCTGGCTTTCAGCAGAACAAATACATAAACAACTGAATATGTATAACAAATCATAATGCTCTCTGATAATAAATTATACAAAAAGTAAATAGCAGCGCAACAAAACTGAAAGCTAAGAAAAGAAAAAATACCAAAGCAAGATTTATCCCCAGAATAAACTCATTAAAATTTAAGAATTTAAAAATGAGGAAAGGAAATTGAAAGTTTACAATAATTTCTTTAGAAATCGAATAAATGATAATTCTGCAATCTGGCCATTACCTTCTTCAGTATGTTGATTTTTTGCACCCAGAAAGACTGCATCGATATATGCAATACTTAGCAGCTAATCAACAAAAACAAAGTACTTCTCGAAAGGTGAGGATATTAGCTTCTCATCATATAACCGAACATTTGCAGGCAATATCTCAAATTCGTCAGCAGTATTCACTGTTTTTGAATCTCCCTCCATTGATCTCGGTTCCGTTTCAGTCATCGAATTAATTTCTTGCTCGCCATTTCTTTCATCATTCGATGCCTTACTCGAAACTCCTACTGTTTCAGCAGTATTGATCGACATTTCCATTCGCTTTTGTTCTAATTTCTTTGCAGCATCATGAACCTAAATTTATATCACGTCACTAACGTGAGAAAAGATGCAAAAACAATATCTAATCAGGTACATCAGTTTATTTTCAGTTTCTCTACGGCAACTTATAACAATTTAAAACATTATCTTTTATTGTTAATGCTTGTCAACGAATAACTAAACAAAAATTAATGAATTGTATTGTTCATTTCATAAAAAGTGTTGCTATATATTCCATAGATACTATCTCTTTCAGTAATAAAAGAACCTTTCAAATTGAACTTTTGCTCTTACAAAATAGTTTCCTTTCTCTTTTTCCTAGAATTTCTAAGTTCACAAGCTTCCATTTTAAAATTGTCTTGCAAAAACTAGAAAAGCTGGAAATCATTAAAATTTCTACTGTTACCTGATGAAGATAATATGGCCCACCATAATTAACCAACCAATTGTAGGCATATTTCGGTATATTACTCTCAGGATTGTCGTAATATGAAAGAATATAATCGAATCCTTTGCATTCAAAAGTTTTATGCGCTCGAACTATCATTATCGACCGATATGTTTCGACACGCACATATTTCTTTTCACATCGTGGAATAATATTAGCACTATCTGCTATCGCACAATTTGCTATCACAATACAACGATCTTTCTCATCAATGTATCTAAAAACTTTATTTGTTATAATATTGTGGAAATACTATCATTTCAATTATTATACTTTAGGCTACGTAGCATTTTCATGAATTTTTTCACTATTGTATCCAAACTATCATTCAATTCTTTGATGTCAAAAATTTTCAACATTATATGATTGATTTGACCTGAAAGCAACAGTACATGAAAGTGCAAAAGAGTATCACAAATGTAAAAAATGTAGAAGCAAAATGCATTTATGATATTGAAACAGCTTATCACTTGGAAAGATAGCCTAATAAAGTGAAATATTATAATGCCTTCAATTCTAAATAAACATAGTGTTGATATGTTCTGCACAAAAATTTATAATTATTCCACTGTCCCATTAGAAATTTCGATAAAGTTCAATCATTTTCTAATAAAAAAAAGAAAGGTAAAATTTATGTAGTATATTTTTCTCTCTTTTTATTACTAAAAATCAAATTCCAAAAATTCACAAATTTAAAAAACAATTCTTATTCATACCTTCGTCTCACAAATACATATTCACGGGGGTACAATGGATAAGGGAACTTAGAAACCCAGTGAATAAGTTCCGAATCGGTATCATCATCTTTCCGGACCAGTTCCAATTTTTCAACATTCGTATCCCATTTCTTCCGAAAAACTAAATCCATTTGAGCATCCACAAAATCACTGGCCGTTATGTCACTGAAATCAATTGCAATTATATAAAGTCTCATCTGAGTAACTTGCAAACTTGAAATCTTAAGTGCAATTTCATAGCGAAGTTTTCTTATATCGTATATTTAGCATGTATCGTAAAATTAAATTTTAAAAGAATCTTTACATTTATACACAATGCAGCAATTTCAATGAAAATAATAAGCCATGAAACACAATCTATCTTCATCGCCATTATTGGTACTACGAAGCAAACGATAAGTAAAATTTTCGTAACCCAACAACAGGTGTATAGCACTGAAGGTGATTCTTAACTTTAATTAGGAGAAGAAAATACAAATAAAAAAGCATTTGAAGCAATGTATTCAAACAAATAATATAATATTAAAGGGAGTAAAATCATTTGATCCAGGGCGTGTAATCGTACGAAAAATATAGTTGTCGAAAAGTAATCGCGAAAATAGTTAAACACTAAAATTTAAACTTATATTTGATATTAAAGAAATATGT